CCCAGCCCAGAATAAGCAGGCGATTCCCCCCAAACCCCTTCCATTACCGTCCTCCGATTTCGCATGCCTCTGCCGGTCGCCTAGCCTTCCCATGGCACCGGGTGGAGGGGGCGCGCTGCCGGCGGTCATGGCGCGGGATGTGCCTGGGCCCGCGGCGATCCCGGCCGCGGCCATGGCCAGCGCCGAGGTGGCGGCGGCCGAGGTGGTGCGCCGCGTCCAGCCCACCGAGGCCTCGGAGCGCCGCCGCGCCGAGGTCGTCCACTACGCGCGGAGGATCGTCGGAACCGCACTCGGATGCGAGGTGCGTGCTCCTCCGTTTCGCCGAACGCTCTTTTCTTCTTCAGTTTCCGGTTTTGTCTGGGTAGGGTAATCCTGCGGCGTCTCGTCTGGGGATCCTCGTGCTTGTTACATTATTCTTCCTTTAGATTTGTTTATTACTTTGCTTCCGTCGCTCTCTCTCCTCCGGACTAGTACTACTTGCTATACATTTCAAAGACATCGGGTTAGGGTAGGATTAGTACTATTCCTTGATTAATTGCGTCGTACTGACGAGGAGCTAAACTAATCGCGGCGTTGCGATTCCGTGACTATCTGCTGCCTTCCCCAAGGATTTCTGTTATGTACTGTAGACTAGTACTATTTGACTAACAGACTTGTGTTAGACCAAGTCGGCCCTTTCTTTCTTCTGCTTGTCACGGTCTCACAAAAGCAACTTCATCCGTTTAGAAATCAGAAATAAGCTTTCTGTCTGCTCTGATCTATGCGTTTTCGCTTTTTAACCCTAGAAAAGGCGCCCTATGCTTTACGAAATCCAACTTTTACCATCTCAGCAGGCTTTCTTTCAGAGGGGAAACAAACTTTGGCATTTTGCCAAAAAGATTAACGAAAGCCTTTTTGTTTTGGTTCTGCCCCTGCCCCTGCCCCTGCCCGTGATCGCATGCTTGACTGGCAGGCGGATGCAGACCATGATGCGTACACTTCATACACGATGACCCATCCACGTGGTTACCAAACAGTGTGGCAACTGATCAATGCTGCTGTGGTTGAATCTTGTTGTGGTTCTCTGTCCCCATCACAGCTTGCAGAGGATTTTGACATAGCACTAGTGAGATTTAGTAGTATAGCCATTCACCGACAGCTGCATGCCAGCATCCTGCATTCAACTCCGCCGCGATCTCTATGTTCCCAGATCGCATTAGATATGAACTCAAAGTCCATCCTTATTTACTGACGAGCATTCCGCGGTCTACTGTTTGAATCGTACTTTGACGTGTGCCCACGGGCTCATTTATTTACATGGAAGCTCTTTACTCCGTAGCCATAGAGATGGTAGATCTGGAAAATGGTCCTTGTGGCTAGTATTATGCTGATCACTATAATGTCTACGTGGGTGTACTTGTATAGCTGGAATTGCTTGAAAGTGTGTGGCTGCTATATCTTATAGGCACTACTTCTGCACTAGGAGTCGTGTCATAAATGTTTCCTAGCATTTGGTGCTTCTCGAAAAAGATTGGTGTAATGATGTCTGTTCTTTTTGGATTATCGTCACATGCGTGTATATGAGATGGGACATTGTTCTAGTGGTCCATTATTTTTTATGTGATGCCAAAAGTGTGTAAAACAATCAAAACGAGGACCCGTGCACTGCAAGATACTATACTTCATTACCTCCCGTAAGTGTGTTATTACAGGCCAGTTCTCTATTCTTGCACTTGTTGAGTTTTGTGATCGAATTGTGTGTGAAGGTAAGAATTGGAGTGTCTTAGTCACCTGTACTGGTTGATTGGTCACTTTGTGAATCATGTGATCAACTCATTTTGTGACATAATGGGATGTTATTCCATTGTGGAGACTACATACTGAGTTATTTCAGATGGAAAATGGCAATAGCTAGGAGGGGACTAGGTACTATATCAGTTAACAAGAAAATAAATAGGCACCCAAATCCGAGCCGAAAATACCCACACCTACCACCAAAGAATCTAGATCAGTTCCTCTGATTAGCCTTGAACTTCCTATTGTAAGGCCGATGGTAGCAAACAAGTTAATCCTACTGCCAACATCATGGTTCTTGTAGTACAACTTGTGTATGTTGAAACAATGCTTTCTATCTCTACTCTTATAAATTGGAGTTGGAAGCAGTGATGGTAAGTTCACTCCCCCCACTCCATTCCAATCTCCCTTGCCCATCTAGTAATCATTAGACCCCATCCGACTTGATTTTTTTTATAAACGAAACAGAGAAAAGTAATGTAGCTGGGGAGCCTCGAACCTCACACCTACCTCTACACATAACTCTGTCAAACCAGCAAACTACTGTCTATTTGAACGGGAAGGTGCATTAGAAGTACATGACAGCACACAATTGTTTTTACTGGGACACTAACCAGCCAGTCAATCCACCAAAGTTGATTTTGATTTTTTTTCCCCTGCCGTGGCTCCTCCCGACACGCATCCTCTTGATACCGCCACTCCTCTCAACTTCCATTGTCATAACTTTCAAATTTCAAAATCTGGCCATGGTGCTTCAAATCTTGTAATGGTGCTCCCATGGCTGCTGCAGTTATGCAAGTACAGTGTTGTCTGCTTGCTTGAGTTTTTCTCTGCAGTGCTGCAAGTGCATTGGTGGTTGGTATACCATATATTAATCCAATACAATCATTTTTGTGGTTCTGTGGCAACACACGAGCATTATGCTAGTTCCGCCTAACATTTTTGTCTGGTATAACTTTTGAGATGCAGTTTTCTAATGTGACATTATTTCTTCTTTGTTTGACTGGTTAGGTCTTTGTATTTGGTTCGGTTCCATTGAAGACTTACCTTCCCGATGGGGACATTGATTTAACTGTAATTGGAAATACATCTTGTGGTAGTACTTTGATTGATGATGTTTACTACATCCTTGGGTCGGGGGAGGAGAATGGTGACGCTGAATTTGAAGTGAAGGACTTGGAACACATTGATGCAGAGGTGTGCTATCCTGTTTGCTCCTCATACACATTTATAGTTTTTTCAGAAGTCTGGGAAAACTATGATATTGCACTCCTAAACCTTTTTTGTCCTTAGCATACGTTTCTTCTCTTTTAACAAATCCTTGGTACACATGGAAGTTAGGCTTAACAACCATATACATGTTTCTTCCTTCTGATGCAGTTTTAGTCTGTTACTGTTTTGCACGTGGTAGCTGCCTCTAAATTTTCAAATATTCCGCCATCCAGGTCAGACTCATTAAATGCACTATTGGAAATATTATTGTTGATATCTCATTCAACCAAACTGGAGGAATCTGCGCAGTCTCCTTCCTTGAGCTGGTATGTTGCGATTTTTTTTTTGGAAAAATAATGCAATTTACGCTTGCTGTTCTGCTTCAGTCTTTATAGTGAAGTTGCTGAATATGTAGAATATAATGCTCCACATGTTCCTATGCTAGTCTAGGCGTTCTTTTATTTGGTTATTACTATGCCTAGTCCTGGAAAAGTAAACGGGTGTTCCTTCTTCAGGTTGACCGCAAAGTTGGGAAAAATCATCTATTTAAACGGAGCATTATATTAATCAAGGGATGGTGTTATTATGAAAGTCGTCTACTAGGAGCTCATCATGGGCTTATATCAACTTATGCATTGGAGACACTTATCCTATACGTCTTTAATCTATTCCATAAATCTCTCCATGGTCCCCTGGAGGTAAGTCCTGCAAGGAATGACTTATCTCAGACATTTGGAAACATCTTTAGACAAGGCAAAAACTGATACTTTGTCTCCATCTTTTCTTATATTTAATAGGTTTTGTATAGGTTTCTGGAATATTTTAGCAAGTTTGACTGGGACAAATACTGCATAAGTCTAAATGGCCCTGTTGCTTTATCGTCTTTGCCTAACCTAATTGGTGCGTTACCTTGTAATCTATTTCTTGGCAGAGTTATCACCTGATTCCTATTTTGTTTCAATCCTAGAACTTGTATCTCTTGCAGTCGAAGGTTTAAATGTACCTGGCGATGACTTGCTGTTTGACAAAGAGTTCCTTGAGAACTCAGTGCAAAAAGCATCTGCACCTCCAAGAAATTCTGATGCACGCTGTTCCAAATTCCGTGTGAAATGTCTAAACATAATTGATCCACTGAAGGAGTGCAACAATCTTGGCAGAAGTGTAAACAGAGGTTTGAACTAACCAAAATATATGAATTGATTGTCCCTTTCTAAATTGTCTTCCGAAACTTTGACAAACATATATTGTTTGCCTTTAGCATCATATGTGTGATGTGCTGATGTGTACATGAAGTTGTGCATAAATCCGTAAACAGCATGATCTCGTACTGAACATATGTAGAGTTTTGTTTGAGTGATGTATTATATGGAGTATTTTCTTTCTATATTTGTTTGCTGGCGAGGGACTGCCAAGTCTTGTTTGACATTTTATTATTGTGCAGCGAATTTCCATCGTATTTGAACTGCTTTCTCGTTTGGTGCTTGGAAGCTTGGTCAAATTCTTATGTTACCACCAGAACTTATTCCTGATGATATTTTCGCATTTTTCAAAAACACCTTGGAGAGGAATGAAAACGGAGTAAGGTCAGATATTGACCATGTTGGCGCATTTCATTGTCAGCCCTTCCTTGGTCCCAGCAATCGACTCTTAGATGGCATGCCATGCATGCAGATTTCTTACAAGGAGGAAGAGAAAAGTCGTCCTCGTGTTTCAAAGAAATTAGCTGAGCATGCAGTAAGTGTCAGAATAAACGTGCCTACACAGGGTGGATGTTTTTCAGGAGATGACTCGTTTGCACCAAGTACTGGTCTGAGTGCAAGATTATCCCACTGTGTCCGTCATGAACCGAAGGACCATGCGTATCTTTTTCATGAAAATAGAAATGGTGCCACTGAACAGTACTATGTGGCCCCTGAGATGGATGAACAGGAATCTCTTTATGCAGCTGAATCCTATATGGGTGACAAATCACTGATGCAGCCACAGCGTCATGCACACTATTCGTCAAATATGTTGAGCTCTATCCATGGCAATGATTTAGGACTTCCAAAACCTGGTCCTATAAAAAAGGAAAAGTTAACTGGAACTTCACTCCATGTGGAAGAACATCTCCATCCACTGTCATTGTTGAACTTGTCGGATCTATCAGGGGATTTGGAATCACAGTTGAGATGCCTCCGTCAAGTTCAGTACAACTTAGAATACTTGTTTGATGAATTTTCGCAGTCTGTCCAAGAAGCATCTTCTGACGGTAAGGTTGACAAGGATTTGTTTGACATTCTAAATCGTGGCATCCTGTTAAGTACTGATACGGCGCTACCTGGGCTATTGCCGCCTTCATATGCTGAAACGAATGGAATGAAGTTATCTCCAGTTTCTTCTCATAGCACTGAAGTTTCACAGCATTCACAGGACGAGGACAACTGGGCTATGCCCTTTCAGTTGAATGCCTGTGGAATAGACGTCCCATCTAATGGATTATCGCCATCTTATATTGCTGATTCAGATATTTCTGTTTCGTGGGGGCATAGATCAGAGGCTATACCCAACATGCGTGAAACAGCCGGATATATTCGTGAAAAGGTAGGAATAGGTACCCTGAAATCTCACTTTTGGATATCTCATGCATTCATCTGCGGCATTCCTGTGTTCAGTAAACTGTCTCAAAGCATTTTTATGTTTACTACTCCCTCCGTTCCTAAATATTTGTCTTTCAAGAGATTTCAACAAGTGACTACATACGGAGCAAAATGTGTGAATATATACATCCGTATGTGGTAGTCCATTTGAAATCTCTAAAAAGATAAATATTTAGGAACCGAGGGAGTATATGGCTAGCTACTATATGTACTGGCTTTTGCCTACATAGATCTAGTTTTTATTCTGGTTGTTCTGTTATTGTCCTCTTAGGATTCAAAAGGGGAATATAGTTTATTGTTTCGGTAAGCGGGAAAGTCTGTTCACTTTAGAAAACATGTATTGCTACATTCCTCTGAAATATATCTGTCCGTTAATTGTTATTTGTTGTATATGATAGTTACAAGTTCTGTTTCTGTATTACAGCACATGACATCTATAGGAGAGAAAGGGAAGATCCTGATCAATCAACCAGTGAATATTAAAAGCAACCAGGCCACGATTTCCAAACGAAGTTTTGTCCCTTGCCAGGAGCAAGTAGCGCCAGACAGTGGGACCAAGGGAATAAGGATAAGTCGGTCATTGGGAATTGGCGATGGTCTAAATGGATATACTCTCTTAGGTATGAAGACGGCTGAAAAGCACAGTGGTCATACTCGAAAGGAATTTGTCAAACCCCACTATGAAGCAAGGCACACTCGTAGCTCCTATGGGGATGTCGGCTCGAACAAAACCTTCTTCCAGAAGCGAAATTATGATACTGTCATGGAGTGTGCACGACCAGTTAGTGCAAAATATCAGCCACCTGAAGTTGAGGGTACTCCAGATGAGTGCACATACATGAACAATAACTTGGCAAGAAATCAAAGCTGTGACACTCCTAAAGGGTATGGGACAAATTTAAGACTAGCCTCTGAGACATTAAAACTTCAAAGCAGCACAAGAGGAAGAGATTTCTCGAAAAAGAACTTGCCTGCAAAACAAAAGTATGATAATCACAGTGGGCACCCATATTCTTCTGTGAGAGATACAAAGCATGTACCGAATGGCCAAGTTGCGACCATTCTAAATGGTTCGACAAAGGAGGTTGCCCTGAACGAAGAATTGGTTGAAAATGGAACTAAACCAATGCCAAATGTTTTCATTCCTTGTGATAGCAGCTGGAATAACCAACGGATGCTTCTGGCACCTACTACTTGTCACCCCTCCGTCCCTGTCACAAAAGCATATTCTCAATCTGGAGCCTTGGAGACACAGCCAGATAGGATTATTGAGTTTGGCTCTTTGGGGCCTTTCTCGTTGACATCTCCCTCACCAAAGTCAAACAAGGCCTCGCCAAAGGCATGTGCAGACGCCTCTGCATTGGCGTTACAGAGCTATAGAGCCAGTGCAATCCAAAGCAGGTAACATCAAAGGATCTTACAGAGCAATATATTAGTGTAGTCTTAGCCTTGAAATATGCTACAGGTCAAGCATCTAAGAATGATGTCACAAAATAGTAATTTGGGTTTATTTATTATAAAATAACACTAGGTTTGTTTTTGTTCAATGGTCAGCTTCGCATGCTTATTTATCTTAGCTGCATTCAGTCCATTGACCCTGTACTACTACCTTAATATGGTTAATCTGTTAACTTTGACACTGTCTCAGGTCGTCAGGATTTTACAGAATAGGAGATGAAGAGCAGTTCCCCCCACTCCATGCTAGGACCTGCTGAGACTTACAGTAGCACACAAATGATCATCATTTAACTAGGAGCAAAAGAAGAGTTAACCAGTTGATGTTTGCAAATATGACCATCGTAATAGTATACACCTACCTTGTAAAGTTATATCGACACCTTGCGTTTCTAGCTTTCGTGTCTATAGGTAAAGGTACCAAAGAAAGATTTTAGGAGCAAGGACTAACTATACAGTTGTAGTTTTCCCTTCTCAAAATTAGAAATGGGTAAAATAGGAGAAAGATAAACATATTTATAAGTTTTTCTTGAGACAAAATTATGAGCCTTTCTGCTACCGTGAACTGCGAAAGTGTTTTTTCAAATAGTAAATTGCAAAAAAAAGAGGGTAAAAATAAAAAAAATCACTTTTTTTTTATAAACAGAGATGAATGTTTCAACATCGTGCACATTTTTTTGCGCTGAAATGAGATTCATGTGCCACGCTGGTGAAAAATTCATCAATGTTTATGAAAAAGGGTGTGGTTGGCACTAAGTCGACCGAGACTAACCAAGTCTTAGTCAAGTGAGATAACGTGTAAGAAAAAAAATGTTTTTTTGCACGGCTTTTGATGTAAAAGCTCATAAACATAATCAAGTCTTTTGTTGGCTGAAATTTAGCAAGATTGAAGAAAAAACAGATTTTTTTAATTTTACTCTGTTTTCTTATTTTTACTATTCATCAAGATGGAGTGAGCTCGAGAGCACAAACTCTGTGTCTCGACTGTTGCTACACAAGTACTCCAAACTCTGTGTCTTAACTATTTAAGTTGCTATTTCTAAGGGCACAACTCCAACACCATGCGTCAAAATGCCTCAAATGCTTAAATTATGCAGTGTCGACACCTTTTGCCATCTAATGCCGTGCATCAACTGTCCACTAAATGTCCGCAAACGTTTGAAACCCCACAAACTAGAAGCAAAGCCGGGGAGGTTTGCGGGCGCCTGGTTCTACATCATGTTGGTGTTCGACAATTAGGACCCGTACAGAACCCTATTTTTCGTTGCGCTCCAACCGCCACTCCGATCTTGGTGGATGCAGATCTAGAGCGGATGTGACCGGGCGCTGCCGCACGTCGGCCGAACGACATTCACATTGGTGCGGCTGCCAAGAAACCTGCTTCAGCATGCGAACGTGACCGGATGGGGCTATAGACGGCTTCCAACTGTTAGCGAATATAGTTTCCGTAGTAGTCTTCAACTCTTTCCCTTACTTGTTCTACTCAAACTCTTGTAAACCCTTCTTGTACGCCAAGGCTTGCTTCGGCCACATCAATATATACAGCCCCGACTCCCCCTCGAGGGGTAGGGAACGCTTATCATCTTACATGGTAATCAGAGCCACCTCTTCCCAAAACATCTAGCCAAAGATCAAAACCCTAAACCACATACCATTGTCTCCATGGCTTCCTCAGCCGGCGTTGCTCTTAACCTTGGATCGCCGCCGTTAGAGAAGCTCGCAAGAGAAAATTTCATCCTTTGGAAGACTCAGGTTCTCCCA